GAGTACTTTTCACATTTTGAACAGTTTTCACAAAGAAGTAATGCACCACACGCCTATCCAGCTGCACCATCAGTCTCGAGCATCTTCACATCAGCGATATATTTCTGCGATCTAATACAGGCTCTTCTTGCATTGCAGTAGCCGCTCTAGGTATGTTCTCCCGTAGCGTACCTCCTTTCATGCCACAGAGAAAATGGACTTGAGAATCAGGAAGGCTAAACGAGTCAGGGCACGCCGGCGTTGGGGAAACACTTCGTGGGGTACGACCTTCCCCCTCCTTCAATACTTACCCCTCTGTAATCGAGTACGACCTATCCTTCCGCACCTCACCCCCATCCTATAAATATCATTTTCCGGACTTTCTTCTCCCGGGGATTTTTCCACCTTTTTTTTCTGAAAAAAAAACAGTCGTCGCGAAAGAAAAATTTACCGTTATTGAAACAAGGAAAATCGGGAAAGGCTAACAACTAGAAATTTTTTCCGAAGGCAAAACCACTTTCCTCGCTGAGGATCTCTAAGGTACAACGTGCCCTGACCGAATCTTACCGTTGGCGGTTTGTGAATCTTATCAATAATCACCTACATTGAAATGAAGTGAGAAGTTGAACTGCATGACGTAAAAGACGACAAGGAGAACAAAGCCTACGAACAATCCAAGCATCTGCGCATATAGTCGCCGCTCTCGTTTCAAGGCCCTGAAATGGTGAGATCAATGTGGTGCATGCACGAGTCGTGAATGAGACGTTTATTAACCTACACGCTGCTATTGAACCGATTTTTAACCAGATATCTCAGTACTGTTCCATAGCATATGCAACATAAAAAGAACGTGATGAGAACGAATGTAGCTGTCATGGAGGTAGCTATCTGAAAACCAAAAGACTTTATGAAATAAGGGAAGCATCACCAAATTTCTTACCGTTATAGATTGCCGTTCAATCACCACTTCCATAGTTTCTAAACTTGAGAAGGTGGCGTTACTGAAGACAAGAAGTGGTACTGAATATACTGTTGGCACTACCCATTGGAGAACAGGAAGAACCCATCGATGTGAACTATTGATGATCTAAAGACACAGTGTAGCGCTAAACTTCCATTGAGGTTCACAAGTATCTCACCTGCTCAACTCGATGACCATGTTGACAAAGTGAAATGTATCGTTGAAATGAGATAACTAGAACGCCGAAACATCGTAGTATGGCTGACACATAAGTCTGGTTGTAACACCATGTCGCTATGTAATAATCTTTATAAGTCCAAAATATTATATTGCACAGCCCTGAGTGGCGAAGCGTTCCGAAAAATAAGTAGCTGACCATCCAGAAAATATCCATGCAGCCCTATAAGAAAGCATTTCGTCAATAGTGCTCATCAGATACTGATCTCTTTCGACTTCGCTTGTTCGAAGGTTTTACCATGGGATTTCCACACCATCACTTATGGTTCGATTCAACTTGAATCATTGATAAGTCGAAGTGCTATTCGCACTGCAACGGGCTGTTAAAGGCAGTGAGTACGCACTGTTGCTTGCGTTGTTCCTGACATGAAGTTACGTCCACAGTGTACTGAGCCATGATCCTTCTTTCTCAAAACCTCGAAAACGCGTGAAAGAGCGGAAAAGTGGAGAGTCGCATTCTTAGCGTGTTGCTTCCGAAAGATCCGAATTCCCGAGTTCTTGAATCACAACCCGGTGCCGAATTCCCGAGTTCTTAAATCACGACCCGGTGCTATTCAGCTTTTGTGTCGGCTGCGCGCAGTCATG